GGTCTGCTGATTCACTAAGATTGAAATTAGGGTCTGACTATCGTATCACATCCCTTGGTTTCAAAATTAGTCTGCTGGTTCATTTTCAGGTGTTGAATACTACTGTTGTTGTTGGTAACTGCTGATACCTCATTTTTCTGCTTCCTTCTTTCATTTCCAAGTGTACACTTGAACTCAAATTGGTGTAGCTTTGAGATGAATAAAAGTACTCAGACATTTGTTTACTGGATGATGCATGTTTGGACGACTATACATCTGTAGTTAAGTAGATATTAATGATATGTAACTGTGTAGTGTAGTCTAATTGGATTTATATTCACATGAAACTCGGACTGCGTAATTTGTACCTAATTGGACTGTTTGGGACTGTTAATTTGTGGTTTTCCAGTTGTAGCCTTAGTATAGCTTAGAACTTGCTTTAGTTTAACGATTATCCAGAGTGTATATCGAGTGTATACCGCTCTCTCCGCCCCCTTTTTTTTTCCTCTCCGAATTTCCTAGCCTTCTACCCTCTTTGAATATTCTCCCTATCTCAGAATCTCTTCCAAGTTAACTTAGCTCTCTGTCCCTGTATCTAGAGTGTATACCGCTCTCTCCGCCCCCCTTTTTTTTCTTCTCTAATCTGATTTTCAGCTCCCTTAAATGGCCATTCAATTAGTGCATTTTCCACTACCAATTCAACTTTTCATTTCTTTAATCATCCACTTAATTGTCCACTCAATTAGTGCTTTTAGTTAATTTGATAATGCAAATACTACCCTACCACTATTAGAAGCTTCTCAATTAGTAAATTGGCCCAACCAGATTTTCCTCTTCTTATTCTCAATGGGTTTGGCTGAGTTTTGGTTTTGGGCCTGGCTAAACTGGCCCAACCAGGTTTTCCTCTTCTTATTCTCTTTTCCTTTTCAATTTTCTTTTCCTTTTTCTTTTCAACAATTAAAACTAAAATCCTAATTAATTATCAAACACCAAATTAACTTAAAAATACTAATTAATTCTAACTAATAATTATCACAAATAATTAAATGCAAAATTAAAAGAAAATCACACAATTTGACTAAAATTACAAAAATATGTTATATTTTTTTTTGAATTTTCATTTTTGTAAAACATCTAATTATTAATTAATTCCAAAAAATGTAAAAATCTAATCTCAAATGAAAATGCTATATTTTGTATTTTTAATGCATTAACAAAATTAAACATGAACACAAATATATGCGAACAATCAGGGAAATCACACAATAATTCCTAAAAATAACACATAATTAAAGAAAAGACCTAATTTTGGGAATTCTTTTGGAGTAATTCGTATGAGGCAAAAAATTGCGTGCTCACAACGGTGATGATATCATCGATATAAACCAGCACATACAACACGATGTTCGACACTTTGCGAATGAAAAGCGATGCATCAGATTCAGACTTGACAAATCCCAAATAAAGAAGGAACGTCTTAAGTTCATTGTACCAGGCCCGAGGAGCTTGCTTGAGTCCATATATAGCTTTCTTTAGGCGACATATATGTGAGGGGAACTGCGCTCGTCTTCAAAATGCGGAGGTTGGACCATGTAGACTTCTTCTTCTAGGTGACCCTACAAGAACGCGTTGTTGACATCAAGCTGATGTATGGGCCAATTCTGCTGGACAACAATTGAAAGAAGGGGTGCTTATCGCACAGATCGGGTGGATAATTACGTATAATGGTTCGGCTTATCGAATATCGGATTATAAATGTAGTAATCCGCTAGCCATCCAATAAGACAACGGGGGGATTGGTATCAGATTAATGATTATCGGACGATTATGAGGCGGTTTATCGGCTAAGTCAAATAATTTTTTTTGAACAATCATTCAATCAATACCAAACAATTTCAAACCAATACCATCTAAGATCTTGAGATGTTCTATCTTGAGATGTTGTGTTGATGTCTTCCTTGGTTCTATCTTGGAATTGTTTTTGCACTGTCTCAATTTTCATGCATATTTTTTGAAAATTCATTCCATAACATCTATATAGCTCGGAATCACACTTACAAGGCATATAAAACACAATTAGTGCAAAACACTAACGATTAAAGCGCAAACTCAACTAAAGTGCAGTAAATTAGAGTGTAATAATCGACTAAAATACGTAATTATAGCCTATCATCAGTTATTACAAAGGTATCTAAGTTACTTAGTCCAAATGTCATCTAAGGCAACATAGTCTGAATCGGCTGCAAGTACATAGTCTGATTATGTTGGAACATAATTTCTAAGGCATCTAAGTGGAAACTAAGTAACTTAGATGACATTTACGTTGCAGAAGGCAACTACTTACGTTGCAGAACTACTGAAAGATTTTCTAAGCTCTGGTGACTGACGACTTCTCAGTAATACTTTATATACATAGGGGTAAAAGTACAAAAATATAAAAATTCTTAATGGGTTAACGATTTACTTGATAAGAAAATTGAGTAATCCGCCCCCAAACTGTTAAGCCACTAATTATAAAATCTCAATCCGTCCACCATCCATTACCCCAATAATCCAATACCAATAAGCCAATAAGCTATCGGTTTGGTTCGGTTAACGGTTTCGGTTCGGTTTTGAACGGCCCTAATTGAAAGCACCAAGCGCACAGTAGTGGGTTTGACAACCGAACTAAACATAGAGTGAAAGTCAATTCCAGGGCGTTGTGTAAATCCCTTTGCAACAGAACGAGCCTTGTAGCGATCGATTGTCCCATCAGCTTTTCTCTTCAACCTGTATAACCTCTTGCAAGAAACAATATTTTTTGTGGGGTCATGTGGTGCCAATTCCCATGTCTGATTATTCAAGAATGCATCAAATTCACTTTTCATCGTCTGGATGTTTGTTAGCTTGTTTAAAACTGGTAAGGATGATGGTGGGGGATAAGTGAGCCATGGAGTCAAGGATTGTTTTCGGTTTAAAAATATTTTTTTATGAACGAGTCACAACACGATTTGGAGGGGGAGAGAAGGTTGTTGTGTTTTTGTGACTGGAAGTGGTTCGAGGGAAGGTTGTGAGGGTTGCGGAGTTGAGGCAGTGGTACGAGCAATAGTGGTTTGGCCAGTAGATGCCATTTTGGTCGTTCTGCGACTGTATACAATTGGAAAAGATAGTAGTTGAGGTTGTGTGACTGTATACATTTGGGTATCATTAAGATCAGGAGGAACAACAGAATTTGTAAGAGGAGAAGTAGAAGACATACCTGTAATTGCAGATTCTGGTGGAGCACATGCAGATGATACAGTGTCTTTGTGAGCGCTGGTTTCTGTATTTGGGATAAGTATAGGGTTGAGTAATTCATTTATTATGGGAGGAGAAACAATAGAAGATTTTGTTGGGTTAGTTTCAGTTAGGTTTTCCCATGCAAGAGTTTTAAAATTTAAGAAAATATTCTGAAAAGGAAAATTATTTTCAAAATTGTTTACATCTCGAGATAAATATATTTTAGACAATTTTGGATCAAAACATTGATGACAATAATAATTTAAAAAATAACCTAAATAAATACAAGTTGTTGACAATGACTCTAATTTATTTTTTTGAATAGGGTTTGAGCCAGGGATAACAGAGACACCCGAAAATTTAAAGAATTATAATCTGGATATTGTCACCAAACAATATTTGAAAAGGTGATTTATTTTGTAAAAGTGAGGTTGGCAAGTGATTTACAAAATAAACCGCATGTTGACAAGCAAAAGACCAAAGAGTCGGTGGAAGCGAAGCTTCATGAAGTAAAGCTCTTGTCGTTTCAATAATATGTCTGTGACGTCTTTCGACAAGAGCAACTCTTTAGAGGATGTATGGGGGAGATAAAAGATGTTTAATACCCTGAGAACTTAGGTATGGATTAAGACTTTTATATTCGCCACCACCATCTGTAAAGATAGAAAGAATTTTTGTATTGAAATGACATTCTATTAATGCTTGATAATTTTTGAAAAGGTCTTTAACCTCACTTTTATTTTTAATGTATATAGCCAAGTATATTTGGTGTATTGATCAACAAAAATGCAGTAGTATGATTTTTGGTCAATCGATAAAATCGGAGGACCCCATAAATCACTAGATAGTATTTGAAATGGTTTGGTACTTGATAAAGTAAGATCTGAAAAGAATGGCGATGAGCTTTATTCGATGAACAAGAATTACAAACTAAAAATTTGTCTCGCGAGCAATTCTTTAGCTAGTAGTTACGATTTTGTTAGTCCTTTATTTTCTCAAATAAATCTCCTTGTTCAAGGAGTTTGTTTAGCAAGTAGTTTAATCTTCCAGAAGAGTTAGTTTAGGGAATTGGTTTTTCACTCTTGTATTTAAAGGTTGCTCTGATACCATATAAGAACAAGAGAAACACAAAAAGCTTATGTGTTTTTTGAATCAAAGCAACCTTTAAATACAAGAGTGAAAAAACAATTCCCTAAACGAACTCCTCTAGAAGAGGAGAACTAAACTACTTGCTAAACAAACTCCTTGAATAAGAAGATTTATTTGAGAAAATAAATGACTAACAAAATCCTAACTACTAGCTAAAGAATTGGTCGAAGCAGTAAAGTAGCTGGTGGTTGATTATTCTCTAATAAAAAAATATTTCTAAGTGTATTTTCTCAAAAGAGTTTTTGGGCTACATTTTCAATTTCTCAAAACAACTTCTGTTAGTAAACAGTATTTGTAAAATAATTCTGGAAATATATAAATGAACATATACAGAAATGAACAACGAAATAACAGAAAACCAATTCGAGCCCATTGAATTCACAGTGTTTTCTTAAGGAATTTAATCCACTCCTAGTACCCAAGGTTATGGATTATTTCCTTCCAGGATAGAACGAATTACACACTGGTGTAGTGGTACTTCAAACCCCAGTGTTTCAGCGAACACAAAGTTCGGTAGCAAATCATACTTACTGTTGCTTTGTTTGATGCTAAAAGTATGCAGAAGAAGGAGGAGAAACTCAGAAAATCATATTGAAATTCTGAGCAGAATAGTATTGTATTTATAGCCAAAGTTGGGCTGAAATCTGAAGAGGTGCAACTCTTCAGAATGGCTGTTTATGCAAAACGGCCACAACATAAATGTCATAACATAAATGGCTATTTACTCAACAATAAAGAAGGAAAATTGAATAGGGTAGTTAATTTTCTATTACCAAAACAGAAAACGGATTGGAGAATTTAATATTAATATTTATTTTAATATTAATATTCTGTTATTAAAACAAATATTTAATAACATTTCTGTTAAAATTTTACAATTAACAAATAAATTTGGTCCAAAAAATTAATCAATCAATCATTTGACCAAATTCAAATCTAAATCCGAAGCCGAAGCCGAGCTGAGCGAGCGACGACGACGGCGGCGCGAGGCTTGCCTTCTTCCCAACTCTTTAAGAGCTAGAAGAAGAGCAATTGCTTATAAACCCATAAAAAACCTCCTCCTCTTCCAATATGGGATAATGTCCCTTTGCCAAGGGGGAAAACTTAAAATTTTACTCAAAAATTTTATTTCCCTCCATTTCCCATTCATCCTCTTTTAAGTATTTAATATAATTAAATACATAAAACCCAACAAGAATGGGGAATGGTTATATCATGGAAACATGCATGAAAAAATATGTGATTTGCAAGCAAGGATTAATTGCATCTGGATAAGTAGGTTTCCCTTTGAACTTTACGTAGTGAACTTATGTCGGATATACTCGATCAATTGGTAGATTTGATATCTTTGAACCGTCGAACTTTGGTGTACACCTAGACAACCATAAGTCACACAACCAACCCTTAACCGCCTTTGGTTCTCATTGTTGTGTTCGTTTCAGCCATGAACATCGCTTGGTTTCATAAGTGCATAAGAACTGGCCTTACAAAATTCTCCTTGAAGCGGCTAACACTTCACACTTACATATGTGATTCCTAAACGTGTCATCCCGTAGATACACTATTTGATATACCCCGTATCAAATTTAGAAATCATTAAAAAGCCTTAATACTTTATCCTTGGTACTGAACATTGTCTCATCACGAGAATGGACCAAAGGTTTGGTTGACAATGTTGAACCGTCATAAATGACTTTGTTTGATCTCCTTGAACCTATATCTTGGGATCTCTAGTCTTCTAGGTAGAGTTACCGCCACTATGACTTGTTCTCGGCTACAGTCCCATTCCCCTTGATGATTTCTCAACTACTTCTCTAGTTAGGCCTTTTATAAGTGGATTCGACACATTATCACTTGACTTTACACAGTCAATCGTGATAATTCCTCTAGAGAGTAATTGTCTAACGGTTTTATGTCTTCGTCGTATATGACGAGATTTACCATTATACATAATGCTCCTAGCCCTTCCAATTGCCGCTTGACTATCGCAATGTATACATATTGGTACCAATGGTTTGGGCCAAAATGGAATATTTTCCAAGAAATTCCGGAGCCATACAACTTCTTCACTGGCTTTATTCAAGGCTATGAACTCAGCCTCCATTGTAGAGCGGGCAATACAAGTTTGTTTGGATGACTTCCAAGATACCGCTCATCCACCAATAATGAATACATATCCACTTGTGGACTCAGAATCAGTTGAACCGATGATCCAATTTGCATCACAGTATCCCTCTATCACTGCAGGATATTTACTGTAGTGTAAAGCAAAGCCCTAGGTATTTTCTAAATATCCCAAAACTCGTTTCATTGCCATCCAATGAGATTGACATGAATTACTCGTATATCGACTCAATTTATTTATAGCACAAGCTATATCTGGCCGTGTACAATTCATGATGTACATTAAGCAACCCAACACACAAGCATAACCCAATTATGATATGCTTTGGCCTTTGTTCTTTGGTAATGCAAGATTCACATTAATTGGAGTCTTTGCAACTTTAAACCCTAAGTGTTTGAACTTTTCAAGCATTGTCTTAATATAACGAGATGCCAAACCTTGAGGAGTATAGAATTAAATCAGCAACTCCCAAGTCTTTCATATCAAATTTGCTAGTTAGCATACGCTTAGTAGCATTTATGTTGGCAATGTCATTACACATTATGAGCATATCATCCACATATAATCAAACAATGACTATGTGATTTGGAACATTTTTAATGTACACACATTTATCACATTCATTTATCTTAAACCCATTTGACAATATTGTTTGGTCAAATTTCGCATGCCATTGTTTGGGTGCTTGTTTTAGTCCGTAAAGGGACTTAACAAGTCTACAGACCTTTTTTTCTTTACCTGGAACCACAATCCCTTCAGGTTGTTCCATGTAGATTTCTTCCTCCAGCTCTCCATTTAAGAAGATCGCCTTAACATCTATTTGATGAATCAAGACCATAAACTGCAACTAATGCTACTAACGTTCGTATGGACGTAATTCTTGTAACTGAAGAATATGTATCAAAATAGTCAAGACCTTCTCGTTGTCTATACCCTTTGACCACAAGTCTTGCCTTATATTTGTCAATAGTGCCATCATCTTTCATTTTCCTCTTAAAGATCCATTTAGAACCCAACGGTTTATTTCCAAGAGGAACATCAACCAATTCACATGTATGGTTGTTCAATATGGATTCTACTTCACTATTGACTGTCTCTTTCCATAACAATGATTCCGAAGAAGACATAACTTATTTAAATGTTTGAGGCTCATTTTCCAATAAGAAAGTCATAAAATCTAGTCCAAATGAAATAGACATTCTTTGACGTTTACTACATCTTGGATCCTCCTGGTTAAGTGTACTTTCTTTTGTTTCTTCCCGAGGTCATTTAGATCCTTCACCAATCGACTCACATTCCTTTTTATACGGATATATATTTTCAAAGAACTCAGCA